AACCGCCCCTTGCCCACTGCAGCCTTGTGGCCCACAGTTCCTTTCAAGGTACCCGAAATCATGCACTGGCCCCCTAGTTATGTATGATCATTACACAAGTAATTTTTATTAATCAAAAACAATTTTAAATAAAGGTAAGCAAAAAAGAAATCATCCAACTGCTATTAATACCTTGCTTTCTATTACACAAGTAATTTTTATTAATAAAAAACAATTTTAAATAAAGGTAAGCAAAAAAGAAAAGAAATCATCCAACTGCTATTAATACCTTGCTTTCCTTGCTTGCATCCTGCCTTCCTTTCTTTGTCATTTATCTTTTTTTCTACCTACCCACCTAAAGTGCTAATAAACATACAATTAGAGTACACATAATTTTTGCAATCTGTTTTTTCACTTGAAAATATAGTAAAAAATCTTTTCATGTCATTAAAACTTTCTAAAGCGTCATTTTAACAACTACTTAAATACATTAAGCTCCAGCCTGCTGACTTTTGAAGCATTTCCTAAACAATAATATACTACATATATAGCATTATTATTATTATAAGTAGTTGAAAATGTAAGGACGGAGGGCCAGACAATGAATTTAGAATTAGCAGCAAAAACAACTAACTTCTAATAAGTCAAAAATTACATCCTCAGCATAATATATGTGGGGGGAAAAAAGTGCACTTATTCTCAGACATTGAAATTCCCACCAAAATTGGATTTTAGCTATTATTTAAACCCAGTCCTTTTGAGAAGTACCAAAGATTGCATCACAATAGTCTGGCATCCTGCTTGCCACACAAGGCATCTTAGAGACTGTGGTAGTTGTGAATGTGATGGGCATTCCTGTGGTTATGTTATATGGAAGGGATTTTGCAGAAGTGCCTAATAAATTGACTTTGAGTTAGTCACAGCTTATCTTGAATAGCCTGACTTGATGAGAGATTGGAAACCAGAAAGATGCTCATCTGCTGGCCTTGAAGAAGCAAACAGCCATTCTGTGGCTGCTTAGAGATCATCTTATACACATTTCTCAGAGCAGCCTTTCAGTGCTGAGAGGCCTCATGGCCCTTGGCTGACGACCAGCAAGGACATAGAGGCCTCAGTCCTACTGGCACTGAATTCATCCAACAACCACAAATGTGGAAGGGAACCTCAAGTTTCAAAAAGAGCACAGACCAGCCAAAGTCTAGGCTGCAGTTCTGTGAGATGCTAAGCAGAGCCCCCAGCTAAGCTGTGCCTGGATTCCTAACCATGGAAATGGTGAGCTAATAAATGTATGTTGTTTTAAGCTACCTATTTTGTGATAATTTGTTATGCATCATAGAAAATTAATACATATCATGCTGTTACTATTTGATGAGCAAAGGGGGGAATACATTATAATGGGAAGGCATATTTTTTATTGCTTTTATGCTTTTTGATATAGCATAAAGTAGAGAGTAAAAAAGAAGTTAAAAATTAAGTCCCTTACTATAAATCAGTCCTACCAGTTTGTGAATATCCATTGGTTCATCCCCATTATTCTACAAAGTCTCTGGATCATAAATTAGGAGCGCTTCTAAAACATTCAGAGAAAGTCCTTGCTTTTTGCCTGTGGTGTGCATGTAAGATTCTGAATGAGTTGGTACTGAGGCTCCAATATGTAGATTGACAATACCTCCCAGTTACACCTGTTGGTGTCTCATCTAGAAGCGCTCTCTTTCATTAACAAAAGTTTCTCATTATAGGTAGCAAGTTATATTTTCACCCTACCTTAAGACTTCTGAACCACTATAACCATTCTAGAAAATGCTGGAAGCTCTTTACCCAACAATTTTTCTTGATTGGGTGGAAGAATTGATAAATATAAGTTAAGCCTCCAGAGCAATGGTTTCTACCTTTTTCAATAGAATTTCCCTTTGAAAATCCAGTGAAAGATATGGACTTCTTTTTACCATAGTTATACACATAAGCAGGCAGTTTGGAACATATTTGAGAAAATTCATAAAACCTCCCAAATCCCATTCACAGAACGCTTTTATTCTTTGAGTTCTTCCAGGTTAAAAACAGCTTTGGTGTAAAAATCACACAGCCAATAAAGTCTTAAGTCAATCAGAACTTGCCTGTTTCGGACTGATTTTTAGGCCCCACTGAATCCCCTGAATATCAAATAGAGGCCAAGGCCACCCATCCATCTGTCTTTCTTGCCAGAATCCACTACAACCACCAATAAGGCTAGATTACAGCTGATAACCTCCCTTGACAATGTGCTGTTGCAATTCTGGAAGAGAGTAAGGGAAGTGTTGCTGCCATGGTAGGAAAGGATAGGGAAAGAAATGCTGACCCCAAGCATCATCCAGTTAAGGCAGTACAGGTTTCAGTTGATATTCCTGATAATAAAATAAAATCAAGAACAAAAGTCTAAATAGTCACACAAAAAGTTGCTTTGTAGGATACCTTAGATGTGCACATTACAATAAACAGTGTATTCTCACTGTTCACAAAGATGATACAATTGACTCCCACTTTTCAATCACTTTATAAAATCAATTTATTAAAAAAGGAGGTAGATATTTAGTTACTATTGTCTAAGGTACATTGTTAAGTGAAAAAAGATTATTTAACACATGCATGTTCCCACTCATATAAATATGTGTTTGTATCTGCACAATGTCTGAAAGGGTAATCTTAATATTGTCTCTGAATCAGAGTATAACTGGGGAAGGAATTAATATATATTACTCAAATAGCATGTATTACCCTTATAAAAAACAAAATCTATACTAATAAAAGCCTAGGTGGTTCTCGTGCCCTCGCACGATGCCCTCACATCATCACAAGATGGCAGTCACAAGATGGCTGGCAGGGGAGAGCAGTTGCGGGCGACCAGGCCTGCAGGGGAGGGAAGTTGGGGGCGATTGGGCTGGCAGGGGAGCAGTTAGGCATTAATCAGGCCAGCAGGGGAGCAGTTAAGGAGAGATCAGGCTGGCAGGCAGAAGCAATTAGGGGCAATCAGGCAGGCAGGCAGGTGAGCAGTTGGGAGCCAGCAGTCCAGGATTGTGAGAGGAATGTCCGACTGCCAGTTTAGGCCCGATCCAGCACTGGCAGTCAGACATCCCCTGACGGGTCCCAGATTGGAGAGGGTGCAGGCCGGGCTGAGGGACATCCCCCTTCCCTCATGCATGAATTTTGTGCACCAGGCCTCTAGTTAATTAATAAAAAGCCACTGAAGAAAAAAGCAACTTAAAAAAAGAACCAGGTAATTGGGTAGTTGATCACCACTTGGGGATTAACAGTTAAATATATTGAAACTTTCTGAAGTAGAAAAAAGGAACTCTACATTATAGTTAACTAACCATTTTGCAAAAGAACCATCCCAATCGCCTTTGCATTGATGCATTGAGGGAAAAGTAGCTCTTAAAAAATGTCATTATATGTTATATGTCATTTTACAAGATTAAAAATGGCCAATTCATAGATAACTCAATGCAGATATTGCCCTCAGAAGAATTAGGAACAGTTTTCCAGAGGCTACTGATGGTGGCAATCTGTTCAGTATGAGCTGTTTTCCTCTGATGGGAGGAGTATAAGAAGACCACCTTCACTCTACGTTCATCACAGCAGGGTAAAGGTAGCACCACTACTTACTGAGTGCCACTCCGTGCTGGGTACTTTACATATCCACATTATCCCTGATCCTCACATCAACTCTGCAAAATAGGAATCAATGTCCTTATGCCTGCATTTGAGGAAACAGACTGTGAAGCAATTCCCTGCAAACACTTGCACAGAGAGTAAGCGCTAATAGAGTTACTAACAGGTCTTGATGTCAAAGCTGATGCTCTTCCACCAAGTCTTACAGTAAGAAAGAGCGCCACCAGCGAGAACATCTTTCATGATTTGAACAGCCAAGTGTCTTTACATCAAGGTTGAAATTCTTACCTGCTCGTCTACCTCTTGAAAGCTGTCAACATCAGTGCCGTTTGTTTCAAACTTTCCACATGTGCCACTCAGAGAGGAGCTGCTGTCACTTATGCTACCTTCTGGGGTGCTTGTGACACTGTCCCGAGTTGGCCGCGAAGACACAAAGAGGCTGATGTTATCAAAGTCATCATCACAGGACCTGTTCTCAGCACCCATCTTCTGCGCTTTGGCCGGATTGTAGGGTTTTAGGAAGGAAGAGTACACATATCCTTTAATAACTAGACAGGAGTAAAAAGAAAGAAGAAACAAGGTCATTCAGATACACTTTCCAAACATTTGTGTTTAGAGAAGTACACAGAGGTCCCCAGGAAAGACTCAACCAGAGGAGAAGTGATAGTTCTGTGCATCTTAAGCAAATCACTTACTTCCTGTGTCAACAAGCCACCTGCTCGTACTCCCCAATGGATCTTTCTGTTCCATCACAGCCACCAACTCCCCTTCCAGAAGATTGATGTCATATTCTTGTGTAGCATTGCATTTGCGCTTAGCTTGGTAGAGTTCCTCTCTAGTGTATGTGGACAGAAGTTTGGAGCGGTGAGTGTCAGTTTGACGCGGCACTTCTGGCTGGGAGAGGTAAGGAGAAATTTTGGTTTAGACAGCTGTGTTCTAAAATCCTCACTGGGTTGATAAATTCTTCTCCTCTGGAATTTTTTTAAATGTTGAAGCCATACATGGATCTGGGATTATTTCAGCGCTGAGGCATAGATTGGGCTATTATTGTGAAGTATCCAGCTGAGTTATACAGTGAAAAAATCTCTAGCTAGCACATGAGGGCAGTGTTGTAGAAAAGAAAGAAAATTCAAAGAAAATAAGAAGGCAGAGGTTCTAATCCCTCTCTTATGGTGAACGCATTTTTAGTTCTTTGTCACACTGTAGACATGTCCTTGCATATTAAGCACTTGATAAATATTTAATTAAGTAAATTGTAGATGTGTATGTCTTTTTCTGGGAAATAATATCAGTAAACTAGGCAGGAGTCAAGAGGCCTAGCCCCATCCCAGCTCTGCCACTAAGTGACTTTGAAAAGGCCACTTCATCTCTGCAGCCTGGGATTCCTTATCTAGAAAAAGTGAAAGGTTTGAACTATACAATTTAGCTCTATAAAATTCTATTATTTATTCAACAGACACTTATAAAATATCTATCTTATATCAGACACCATTGTAGTTGCTTGGAATAAATACATCATGTACAAAACATAAAAATCTATACACTTAGAGTTCATAGTGTAGAGGGTAAAAAGAGACAAAAGTGTCTGCATAAAATAAGTGTGTAAATGACAGGATATTAGGATGAGATAAGTGATATGGAAAATAATATAAATTGTGGTTTAAACAAGGCACAGAAGTGATAGTCATCATTGGCATGAATGTTACCAAACTCACCGGAATTTGCACAGGCTTCTTCTTTTCAAAACTAAGTTTTCTCTCAATAAAGGTGGCACTGTTGTCCTTTATAAAATTCAGATTTTGAACCTCTTCTAGTACTCTGTTCTGCATTTCAGAGATGTCTGAAACCAACAATGGTACCTATAGGCAGGCAGAAATAAGATGACATTGTTCCAAGACAACTACTTAACCAGTTAGGTACTGAGTTTAGTAGAGCTGTGAAGAACAGTTGAGAAAGTACAGGGTAGCTCCACAGTGAAAAATTAGGTCAACATTAGAATCAGAAAAAAAAAAATGGCCTAATTTTCTGTCTCCATAAATCCCATTAAAATGATAGGGATAATTTTTTTTCAAAGATTCAAGCCTAATAAAAGGAGAACAGAAGAAAAAATAGCAGTAAAGTTTTGAGGAAAAGGCTCAGGAATTGATGGCAGTAGTCACATTCAATGTGTTGGGTGGGATAGTGGGAAGTGGAAAAAGGCTACATGGTTTTAAAACAGATCAGCAAATATTTTGACATGCTTCCCACCAGGAGATGGAATCCATGTCCCCTCCCCTCAAAACTAGGTGGGCCTTTATGATCACCTCAGTGAGTAGAATGTTGAAATGAATAGAATGATGGAAAAGATGCTGACTTTTAAGATTTGGCTAAAAAAGACCATACAATGTCTACTGGGTTCTCTTGGGACACTCACTCTTGGGAGACTTTCATCACCATGGAAGTCCAGCTGTGCTATGCCACTATATGAAAAGACAATGTTGAAATGTCAGAGGGAAGAGTAACAGAGGGATCTTGAATATTTATAGTGGCACTATGAAGAATAGCCCAAAAGTGGAAATAACTCAAATGTTCAACTGATAAATGGTTAAGTAAAATGTGACTTATCCATATTATGGAGTATTTGGGGGCAATACAAAAAATTAAGTACAGAAACACATTAAAACATGGATGGACCTTTTGAACCATGTAAGTGTAACACCTGATTATTCAATATAATTTAATTCAAAGGATAAGTTAATTAGATACCCAATAAAAAATAAAGTAGGGACAATTAATTTTCCTCCAAATGTCCATTAAATACCTCACCAGCTGAATGAGAACTAATACATGTGAAATTAAGGGCCAGGAAACCAAGCTGATTTTCTAAAGTTGATATTAAGATGCAAATATCTTTCTTCCTCTTTAGAAAATAATCATAAAACCATATTCTAATGGAAGGCTAAATGAGATATACACACATATTTTTACACACACACACACACATACACACACATGCACACACACACAGTCTTATCTTCTTTGGAGCAAAGCAAAATGAAGACTGGTTTAACAGTTATCCTACCTCTATCATTCCACTGAGATGGCCTGCTTTTTGATCCTCATCTTAGTCATGGTTAACACCGAAAAACTATTGCATGGGAAGGGAAGGCAAAATATGAATTGAGAAGCTACAACATAGCATCAGGCAGGTGGAGCGACATGGGTGTCACCTGCAATAGCTGAATGTGGGTTGGCATTTGAAAAGGAATCTCCAAAACGAAAACTGCAAGTGTCTAAGTCACAACAAACCCAAACTAGGAAACTCTCTTTCAGCTTCCTATGGAAAACCACACAGGCACTCACAGGCACGCACACACACTCACACGCACCACACTGGTGCAAGCTATGGACAGAGCTGTTTTGCACGGACATTGTCTCCAAGAGATGCCCAGACCAAGGTGGCCAGGTGCTGGTGCTGTGCTTACCGGCACCACCGTGGAATACAGCTGCTGTCTCACCAGCGTCAGGTCCCGGAGGAGGGTGATGAAACTGCACAGACAGTTCAACAGAATCTTGCGTGCGGCCTGGTTGAACACCTGGAGCTCCTCCACAAGCTGGGCGTTGAGGGCCTCGTACTCCTTTTTGGCCAAGTCTGACTCCTCCCCTGCTGCCCGCTGCAGGTAGCTGTTGTAGTCCAGCAGCTTGTCATAGCGCTTCTGGATGAGTTTCTGAGGCCCTGGGAACAGGGACAGCAGGGCTGACAGGGGCGTCAGGACGAGCTTCTGTAAGTGAGCTGCCTGCGGAGAGAGGAAACAATCCGGTCACTGAGCAGCCAGTGCTGCTCTCAATGGGCTTCTTTCCTCCCTGCAGGAGCACCAGGGAGACAGCCAGGTACTTAGCCAAGTTAAAGAAGGATCCAATCATTTTTCCGGCGTTGGGGTCACCTCCTTCCCTGCCTTCCCCTTCCCCCTCTTTCTAATCCCAGTGCCAGCACGTGGAGGGAGGGGGTGACCTCCAGCCTGTGACTGCCCAGACTGCATAAATGATTCACCTGTCATTTTGCTGGCCATAAAAGAAAGAGAGTCTGGAACGGAGTGCCAACGGCCTGCAGAACAACATGCCCAAGTTTTATTGTGACTACTGTGATACATACCTCACCCATGACTCTCCATCTGTGAGAAAGACACACTGCAGTGGTAGGAAACTCAACGAGAATGTGAAAGACTACTATCAGAAATGGATGGAAGAGCAGGCTCAGAGCCTGACAGACAAAACAACTGCAGCATTTCAGCAAGGAAAGATACCTCCTACTCCATTCTCAGCTCCACCTCCTGCAGGGGCGATGATCCCACCTCCCCCGAGTCTTCCGGGTCCACCTCTCCCTGGTATGATGCCAGCACTCCATATGGGGGGCCCTCCCATGATGCCAATGATGGGTCCTTCTCCTCCTGGGATGATGCCAGTGGGACCTGCTCCTGGAACGAGGCCTCCTATGGGAGGGCACATGCCAATGATGCCTGGGCCCCCAATGATGCGACCTCCCACCCGTCCCATGATGGTGCCCACTTGGCCCGGAATGACTCGACCAGACATATAAGGAGAAAGGGGAGCCTCTTTCTATCAGGCTTCTGTTACTGTTCTACTTCACAAGAGATCGAGGTGCTGTGACTCTGGGTGTTTTCTAACAGCAGACAAGGAAGACTCACTCCCTCTTCCTAAGAGAGAATAGTTTTTGAGGGGAGTAGTGGGACCAAATAAAGCAATTTTCATTTGTATTGTGAAATGTGAAAATAAAATAGTCAACTCTTTTCGTAAAAAAAAAAAAGGAAGGAAGGAAGGAAGGAAGGAAGGAAGAAAGTCTGTCTTAGAAGAGACATCTGCCCTGATTTCCTGGCTACCCTGGTAGCTCATTTTGGTAATGGAACTATATCCCCTAAACAGACAGTACCCCCTTGTTATAGGTATTTTGCTCCTGTGATAGAAACTACCACAGAGTTATTGCTTCTTCTTTAAATACACTGAAGGCTTAAGCCAATGCTGATTCTGTGTCCTAAATTGTTACATTTTTAGGTCTGCGTCATTGAAAATGAATTTCATATTAATGCCAAACCCTGTGCCAGACCATGAGCACCCTATGTTTAATTTCTTCTCTTTGAATTTCTTTCCTGCCCTTCTATTCTGAAGGGCACTTGTATCCTAGGTTTGCTGACCACCCTTTACCATACATGCTTGGGTTATGGGATTATGTTATGGCATTTTGGAAGCAGGTTTCCTTTTGTACCCCAAAATATGTCCTAGGGAATCAGACTGAGCAGCAGCTGCTATTAATTAACTTAAATGGCCTCTGGTAACTTTGTCTGAACTCATGGGAAATCTAGGAGAGAGAAGAAACCAATCTTTATTGGCACTAGCAATAGCAAACCCAGATTAAATTTGATGTCTAATTTATAAAATATCCATATGTACCTGCAGACTGTTAAATGAGTACTTTGGCTAAGCAAATAATCTGTTTACTCTTCTGGGATGAATTGCTGTGTCTGTGATGTGAATGGACTCTATAGGTAGTCTACTTACAATACTGCACTATAATTGCAATATATATGTTGTGTGACATAGACATGAGCCAATTCACTGTGCATGGGAATTGTAGTCGGAACAAATAAGAATTAAATTTTACTTTAAGATTTTGTCCTATAAAAATGTGTAGATAAGTATCTCTCATGTTTAGATAAAAACAACTTCTGTGGTTTCAGATAAATGTTTGATTTTTAAACAGAGTTCAAATATATGTTACCAATAAAAAGTTACTTTTATGTTGAGTTTTCTGATAATTATTTTAATTTATCCTAATTTAACATCTTGTGGTATTATGCAAGGTAGGAATACCTTGTCTAATCTTCCTGTTGAATTCTGGAGCATTCCTTTATACACACACACACACACACACACACACACACACGTGTATATATACACACATATATGTATATCCTATATAATAAAGAGGTAATATGCAAATTGACCATCATGCCCTCAAAAGATGGCTGCCTATGACCAGGCCATCAGGGGGGTTAGTGAGGGACGACCAAACGACTGAACAAGCAGGCTGTGTGGGGCGACCAGGCCGGCGGGGGTGAGGGGGGCAGTTAGGGGTGATCAGGCTGTCAGGGGGGCCAGTTAGGAGCTATCAGGCAGGCAGGCAGATGAGCAGTTAGAAACCAGTGGTCTAGGATTGTGAGAGGGATGTCCGACTGCTGGTTTAGGCCTGATCCCACAGGGGCAGTCAGACATCCCCTGAGGGGTTCCAGATTGAAGAGGGTGCAGGCCTCGTTGAGGGACACCCCCCTCCAGTGCACGAATATATATATGTACTAGAGGCCCGATGCACAAAATTCGTACAAGGGGCTCAGCCCTCGCAGCCCTGGCTTCATCTGGAAGGTCATCCAGAAGGATGTCCGGGCCGGCAGGGGAGGGCAGTTGGGGGCGATTGGGCTGGCAGGGGAGCAGTTAGGCATCGATCAGACGGTCAATTTGCATATTACCCCTTTACTATATAGGATATATGGCATAAACACATTTATTTACTAACGGAAGGGTCAATGCTAATTAAACCAACAGAAACAGTTGCATGTAAAATATTTGTGATAACTGAACACAGTAATGGGGAAAAAAGCATGGAGAGATTTGCTCATTGAACTGAGCTTGTTTATCCTCATGGCTAATTCCCGTTCAGAAGGATGATGGCATTTTTACTCCACTTTCTCATAGATCCGAGTACAGTTGACATTGTTCATGATGCATAACACCACTAACTTCCCGCCTTCCCACACCCTGTGATGGTGCTCTCCTTCCCAGCCCATTCCTGGTGCTGGACCAGCACGCCCTTGACAAAGTTGCAGACGGTCTGAGTTTTTCTGCCATCAGCTGTAGTCTCTTCAAACTTCTCTCCCAGGTTGCATGAGAACTGTGTTGTCTTTATTGTGCTCTTGGTTTTGATGGTGAGGTTTTTGCCATCGGAAGTGATGACACAGTCTGGCGTGGCCATGGAGCCCATTTTCCGCAGAGCCATTCCCACGCCTAATTCCCTCCTGTACTCATGGGAGCCTTTGCTCTCCACTAAGCGCCATCTCCCTACCAGCTGCTGAGACGATGGTGGGCACAGAGTCGTGCGGGGACCTGAGCGGAGCAGAGTGCGGTGATGGGAGTGTGGCGGCCTCTGGAGCATTCTTAATGAGGGAGAAGCTATATGCCATGTTTTCACAGGGTGCTCAATAAATATTTATTGACTTAGTTAATGAATGGGAATTAAACTAAAGAGCAAACCCTTAAGGACTTTTCTAAGATATGCTCTCTATAATTAAGCCTAGATAATGTATAAGAAATAGCCACACTCTTTCCATTTAACATGCCATAAAAACTTCTCGCCCTCCTCCCTCTCTCATTTACCTAACCTAGCATCTTAGTTCAAATGTAATCCTGACTTTTCATTTTCCTGTGCTAGGAAAGCAAGGTGCTTCTCAATGTTTTTCTACTGTTGTGGAGGCTGTATCACTTCCTAGGACTCAGAAATATGTGTTGCTGTTCATTGGATGTCACAACTTGAGAGGGAGGGACATTATGGAGATTTAGAGCCTGGAACACCAGGAATGCTAAACACCCTCCAATACAAGGGCCACTCAATGAAGATTTGTCTGAGCCCAAATGCCAGTAATGCCAACACAATAATGCCACTCTCATGGACCTTCAAGATGATGACGGAGGCTATTGTATTTTATATGTAATACTTGAAATACTGTTATGAATTAACAATATCTATGGAACACTAATTTTAACATAAGTTAAAATTAGTATTACTCAGACTAGTTTACCACCCAAATATTTCATTGGCTCAAGTATCTCTTTATGATTACCAAACTCTGTTTTATGATTCTGTATATTTTACTGAACTCTTAGAAAACAAATATTTACCACAGAACAGGAGACATAATAAATGACTCTTATGTAAAAGCCCTTTTTCAATAGGAAGGCTTTGCTTTTGAGCCTACAGTAGGTTAATAAAAGTCACATCTTCAGAGCGTGTCTTCACGCCCACCTGCTGTAAGGACTCTAAGAAAATCGCAGCTTTCTAACTTCATAAATCCTTTCTGTATTATATGCACACTTAAACTAAATGTCGATTTTAGTTAGTCAGACAATTACTACCCCTAGAAACACAGTCTGGTACCCTTTTAAGTTTTGATTACAGTGAAATCTACACTAATCCACTTTAAAATATTTAATGATAAAAAAATCTCCTGTTTAAAATCTACTAATTTTGACATTAGTATTTGCTTTAAGTGCATGTTTCATTTCTAATCAGAAAAAATAAGTGAAAATCAGCTTTTCTGTTAACCGTACTATTACATTTGCATTTACCTATGAAGATAAATAACTTACAAAGTCATCACAGGGATATGGGCCATTCCTTGAGGCCTCTGGATGCCCCCCCTCTTCCTCATCTTTGGTGCATGAAATCTCCTGGAGCTCCAGCATGCTCTGCAGGGCAAAGTGCATGGCATCCTGAAACCCAGAGCAAAGTTACACAGAGGGCAAAGTTAGTACAATGACACTCATTCCAAACGGGCACTTCATCAGCATCACCCTCCATTCCCACTGAGAGGTAAGAAGGAAAAAAAGAAAAAGAATTCACCATGAATACTCTGTACAAGGGGGTTACCTGTAGCAAACTATTTCCTCACTTCCTCCCATGTTACTTTCTCCTACTCCTCTTGACGATACCCTTTTTTAAGATTAAGAGTCCATCTATTTGTTGTTGTTGTTTATGTTAATCCTCACCCGAGTAAATTTTTCCATTGCTTTTTAAAGATTGTGGAAGGGGAGGGAGGAAAGAGACATATCAATTGGTTGCCTCCTGCATGCTCCCCAACCAGGGACGGGGATGGAACCTGCAACTGAGGTATATGCCCTTGACTGGAATCAAATTCAGGACCCTTTGGTCTGTGGGCTGGTGCTCTATCCACTCACTGAGCCAAACTGGCTAGGACAGTGGTCGGCAAACTCATTAGTCAACAGAGCCAAATATCAACAGTACAACGATTGAAATTTCTTTTGAGAGCCAAATCCCAACCAGGGACGGGGATGGAACCTGCAACCGAGGTATATGCCCTTGACTGGAATCAAATTCAGGACCCTTTGGTCTGTGGGCTGGTGCTCTATCCACTCACTGAGCCAAACTGGCTAGGACAGTGGTCGGCAAACTCATTAGTCAACAGAGCCAAATATCAACAGTACAACGATTGAAATTTCTTTTGAGAGCCAAATTTTTTAAACTTAAACTATATAGGTAGGTACATTGTTATTAAGTTAATTAGGGTACTCCTAAGCTGGCCTTTGCTAAAAACATCCTCAATCTGAGGGGTCGACCTCAGCGAACGTACCCTCACTTCTTCTAACGCCACTTCTTCAAAATAGACTCGCCCAGGCAGAAAACCGACTTCTGCGCATTGGCCATGAAGATTCAATCGCACTGTACGTGCGCACCCTCACATGGTATTTTGTGCAAGAGCCACACTCAAGGGGCCAAAGAGCCGCACGTGGCTCGCAAGCCGCGGTTTGCTAACCACTGGGCTAGGGCAAGAGTCCAACTTAAATTCTTTCACTGGCGATTCCTCAGCATTCAATTCTTATAGATCCCTTATTTTAAAAATCACTCCTCTTTTATGTATGTCTTCCATTTTCCTTAGTGAATTTAATGTTCTCTTTAAGCGAAGACTTTCCTCTATTCCCAAGAGGCATTTAACTCCTTGAAATTTACATTCAGGGCAGGGTTCCCACTGCCCTTTTACAACTAAGTTTTGGGTTTCGTTTTCCCAAATGGCAGCGCTTTAGGAAAAGATGAGCAAACCTAGGTGTAAAATCGGGCTTTGCATGCATCAGTCAATAAATAAGGAGAGAATGTGGCTTGCTGGTTACATAGCATAGAACCTTGTCACCAAATCGTTGTGCCTGACAATCCTCTGTTGTGATAACTCATCTAAGTGTGCATCTGCCTCTAAAAACTGGAAAATGGGAAGGGGACCAATGAACTGATATACACGTAATTCTACTAACTCTCTATGTTTCATAGTCATGACCCTGGTCAGGATGTTGTTAAGGACACTGTCTTCTTTATGAGATCCATCAGAACAAATTCTGGCCTGGTCTTCCTATGAATATAATTATCCTGAACTCTAATTGTTTTGTTTAAGCCTGATTCTCATAGTGGACTGGAAATTTCTGGGGTTTTTTGTTTTGTTTTTTGTGTTTTTTTACTATGGTTGTGTAGGAGTATTTGCATATTTTAATTGGAATTATTTTGTTAGAATTTATGTTCACTTATATTGATTTTCTTTTATGTATGACGACCTACCTAAGGTTGAATTTCTTTCAGGGCTGTAAAGGGCGTGTTATGAAACTCTGGATGTAAAATATATACAGGCGCTCAGTTTGTTTTAGGATTGTGTGATCACGTGCCTTTTTGGAGGGTCAGCTGCTAGGTAGCAACAGCTAAATGTGAGACCCACCTGTGAGTTTTGTGGGTTTTGAAATGGCCTTTCTGTCATGCACTTTTTACTTTAAAACGTCTCTTCTCATTTCATTTTATGTGCCTCTTTGATATCCTTTCACTTCTACTCTTAAATTTACAAATATGTGTTTCTAGTCCCCTCCGAGGTTTGCGTGCCCTTGCTGAAAATCAGACTTAAACCAACTGGAGGACAGTCTAGGTATATTCAGTAGAAAGACCAGTCAGGAGTTTATTTAGTCTAACAAAATAAACAAAGAACATTTGTGCCTTGTCCAAAATTTTGAATTAGTGAGCTCATCTCCAGTGTAAAGAAAGCCTGTTGCTGAATCGCACCATGGGGCAATCATGTGAGTAAACGTCCCACAATCTGGCGATATGGATGGGGGAAAGATTGGCGATATGGATGGGGGAAAAAGACTGAGCAGGTAAGGGAACAGAGAACAAAACCACAGCCTTTCTATTGGCTTCCTTCACCAGCAGTTTGCTGCACCCCAAATTGGATACAGTAGGTGTCATCAGATGATGAATGAACAGTCGATTTACTCTTTATAATTACCACGGACATCGGTATCTGCTGGTAGGATCATTGAAGAGTCATGTCTCCCTTACCTGTACACCATGGGGCAATCATGTGAGTAAACGTCCCACAATCTGGCGATATGGATGGGGGAAAGATTGAGCAGGTAAGGGAACAGAGAACAAAACCACAGCCTTTCTATTGGCTTCCTTCACCAGCAGTTTGCCGCACCCCAAATTGGATACGGTAGGTGTCATCATATAATGAATGAACAGTCGGTTTACTCTTCATAATTACCACGGACATCGGTACCTGGGGGTAGGATCATTGAAGAGTCATGTCTCCCTTACCTGTATGTGTTGAAGACAGAATGAAATGTTCTTCACACAGTGCCTCACGGTCTTTTCTAAAGATCTAAATAGCTTTTCTTCTCTATTAAAGGTGTTGTCTTTCACCTAAAATATAGATGAAATTATTTATTTTTATAACTCAAATGAATCTGGTGTTTAAAGAAAAATATCACAGGCATGCCAAAACCGGTTTGGCTCAGTGGATAGAGCGTCGGCCTGTGGACTGAGAGGTCCCGGGTTCGATTCCGGTCAAGGGCATGTACCTGGGTTGCAGGCACATCCCCAGTGGGAGATGTGCAAGAGGCAGCTGATCGATGTTTCTCTCTCATCGATGTTTCTGGCTCTCTATCTCTCTCCCTTCCTCTCTGTGGGAAATCAATAAAATATTAAAAAAAAATATCACAGGCCGTATTGGCCAGCACATTACAGCAAACTCCCCGCTGAGATGAAAACCTCTGGTGATCTGCTGCCTGCCTTTAACGCAGCACTCTCTGTGGACGGCACTCGGCACAGCTGATGTGCAGCGAAGCCACGTGACACAGCTTCATTTGCCGTTCAGTTTTCACACAGCTTCACCCATGTCACAGCAGCGGTAGGAGGTCAAAGGTTTCTCTGCTGCTTTTAATGACATGTATTATGTATGGGCCCTCAAATTATATTATATTTGTGAGCTTATAAAATAATAAAAATGAAGTGAGAATTGAAAATAAAAATTTGATCCCCTGCCTGGAATTTCTTGTTTTGCTGTTATGTATGACTCATTCCAATTTATTTCATGGTGGTCATTTAGAAAATGTTCTTAGGAGCTTGGCTAAAGAAATGTGATAATTCTTTATCAACTCAGATTTGAAAGATGACATATAATCTTAGCAAAACTAGCCCTCTCTTAAGAAAACTCAGCAGTTAAGGCACTGGTCACATGTATTCCGTTATTTTTTGTTATCTTATGTGTTAAGCATTCAGAAAAATATATGTTTTTTATATACTCGTAACAGTTTCTAGGAATGCACACTTATTACTGCTCTTAATGCTGAAAAAAGTTTCTGGGCAATCAAATGGCTAGAACCAGCCTCGTGTTGGCAAACTCTGTGTGAACAGCAAATGTTTCATAGACTGTGGAGTGTGTTCTTTAGTGTGGTACTGGCTGACACCCGTAGCTGTCTTCGGTTCATACATTTGTTCATTTAAAATTATTGACCTTAGAACTGAATACACAGAAAATGATGACATTTTTATTTTTAACCCCCTTAATAATGCTCATCTAAAAAGACTTTTGCTTAAGTGGGCGGCATAGTTCTTTGTAATACAACAAAATTTAACTCTTTGCCTTAGGATTTCTATGCTCTAACCCAATTTAATACATATAACAATAGGCTGTGGTAGATTGTTTTAAAATGCAGTTTTTAAAAAAACTCATCCCCAGCTATTTTGATCAATATATCTTGGCTGGTACCCAGATGGTTTATAAAATAAGAGGCTCAAGGATCACTCTATGAGAAATATGGCCCATTTCTCCTTCTCTGCAGTCAAAACAGGCTGCTTTATTTTGCTGGAATATGCTACTGTCTCTTTTCTGCTGGAAAAATTCTGTTTATTTTTTTTAAGGACTTGCTCAGTTGTCACCCTTCTATGAATGCTCCCTATCATTCCTACGCTCTCCACTGTAGAAAATGAATGACTCCCTTGTATGTGCTCTCACACAACTAGTCAATTATTTAAGCTATTCTCTCCAATGATGCATTGCAGGTATTTTGTCTTAATAATAATAACAGCTAACACTTATTAAACACTATGTTCCAGACACTGTGCTAGACCGTCATCCATTTGCTCACTTTAATTCTTATACTGCACAACTCGAAGGGTAGGTGCCATGATTACTCCCATTTTGGAAAAGAAACAGGTTTCAGAAGGAGTGGCAGAGATGATTAACGTTTCCCCTGTCATCCACTTACTGATAGAATTGGCACCTTTGGTTTAAGGTAGACACCTGGCTGCCCTGCCAGTGACTACCCTTCCCAGATTCCCTCGCAGCTGGCTCTGTCCTTGGGACTGGGTTTTTGTAACTAGGACGTGAGCGAAAGTGATGTGTTTCATTTCTGAATCTTGACCTTATAACACCGTCCTTGGGGCTTGAATGAAGGAAGACCTGGCTGTGTCCCAGCTTTAAATTGACCAGGAAAACGAAGACAACACGTTTAGGAGACAGCAACGCACACAATTGGGGAGAACTGGGTTCTGAAGCATCTCAGGCAGAGGAGCCCATCTGGGACCCACACCTCAGGACTGTTACAAGAGGGAGACATAAATGGCGGGCTGACTGAAGCTTATGTTTTGGAATCTCTTGGTGACAGAGCGTGGCCTTTACGCTAACTAACACAGGGAGTTAAAGAAACTTGCAATGTTCATCGGTAGGACCAGGATTCAAAGCGAAGTGGTCTGAGATCAGAACCTCTTTGTATTCCCAGTCTCTCATACAGAGTCTGGCACCTAAGAGTTCAATACATGTGTGATGAATTGAATAGAATCTTCCTCTTGGGTAATAGTTTTATATCCTAACTCCACCAAATATTTCCCCGGAGCTGCTGACAAGTGCAAAATGGGCTGATTTGAGATTTATCTCTTCCCCAGTCCAGCCCATGCAGCTGATTTTCTGATTAACAGTAAAATGCTTCATTGCTGACAGGACATCCTCTCAAAAGATTAAGGGGGAAATCTAATTAATATCCCTCCAGGCCACTTTCACGACAAAGCACGCTTAGCTCACGATTGAAAACTATCAGAAGCTGATGATAAATGTGTTAAGGAATATTACAGCTTCTACAAAAGCCTGCCCGGAATGAAGATGGGCCTATTGTTCCTCAGTGGAATTGTCTTAAATCAGAAGCAACGTGTCAAAGGAGGGTTGTTTTGCACATATTTCCACACGCCTATGGAGGCTACTGTCTCTTCTTACATGAATTCTCAGTTCAATTTTATGGCTGTTGTCTTTAGTGGTAATGTCTTTTTTTAAATATTCACCCGAGGATATTTTTCCATTGATTTTTTTTAAGAGGGAGTGGAAGGGAGAGAGAGAGAGAGAGAGAGAGAGAGAGAGAGAGAGAGAGATGAGAGAGACACATCAGTTGGTTGCCTCCCACACATGCCCCGATCAGGGGCTGGGGATCAAGCTTGCAACTAAGCTTGACTGGAATCAAACCCAGGACCCTTCAGTCCATGAGCTGATGCTCTTCCCACTGAGCAAAACCAGCCAGGTGGCAATGTCTTCATTTTCCTTTCTCTGATCTGTGACCACACACCATAAATGTCCCAAACATCCCATATTATAGCTCCACGTTAAGAGGAGGGGCCTGGAATTACCTCCTGTATGCAATGGACCCAGTGAGCCCCTGGAAGAATATTAAGATGTAAGCAGAAGGTTAAATGAGCCATGTGTTCCCAGAAAGTCCCTATTGGATACGGTATGGGAAAGCCATCGCAGTCAGAGGAGGAAATAAGAACAAGGCTCAGACAAGGTGTATTTACTCACAAGTCCTCAAGAAGGGGTCACCCCATGCCATGCAGGGTCACTAGGCTTGGTTAGGTGGCAGGAAGAAGCAAAGAGAGAGTCTAAGCCAGAGTCTGTATGGAGTTTTTGTGGGGAAACCCTACAGACACACTGGGCAGAGTAAACAGTTTAGGATTAACCAGTTTGAATAATTGTCCTGGGCTTGGGGCTATCCAGGTTGTCTCTGATTGCTTGGTACTTGGCCCTGGTATCTATTGAGGGCAGAGGAATATTGGTGTGTGAATGAGATAGGGAGGTGGTGGGGGCTATGGATTCTGGATTGGTTGGTTTGTGTATGAAAGAAGTGATTCCCACTGAGCCCTTGGCCATCTCTAAAAACAGGCTAGTCCTGGACTGGGCTCGCTCCTCAGACAGCAAGCTTTTTAAAGATGTCAAAGCATCATAAAGTACAGAAAGTAAAAGACCTGATTAATACACCAGGCATATGGGGCTTTATATCCATGTGGGAAGTAATAAGTCTGAGCATTAAAAAAGGTAAATAACAATACAAGGTGATGATATAAAATAACGATGGTGTTGGTGGTAATGATGATGATGCCAGTATTTACTGAGGGCTTCCCCACTGTGTTAGGTACTTTCTATGCATCATTTCACTGAAGCCTCACAGCCACTCCATGTGTTAGGGCCTAGTATAATTCCCCAGTTTACAGATGGTTACATTGAATTTCAGTTATTTGCCCAAAGACAAATATTAAGAGACAGAGATAAGGTTCAAACCCAGATATGGACGATTTCAAAGATTTTGCTCTTAATTTCTGCCCTGTGCTACCTCCTGCGATATTGACAGGGCCACAACTGGGATCCATTCAGTGAGTTTGTCAGGTGGTCAGAGGAGGAAGAGGCCACTTCTAGCTCAGTGGTCACAAAGTTAAAGAGACCATGGAGGACGGAAAAAGACCATGGAACACAGCAGCTAGAGAGTGGGTCCGATAAGACAAGCCACCTAAAACCAATGCTGAGCCACCAGCCACTTGCCTCTAGGTAAAATTAAAACCTTTAGTTGGAGAGGTTAACATAATAAGAAATGAAATCATGCCAATGAGAAGGAAAATAAAAAGTACTATATAGTATCTAAAGAACCTTCCTGCCCACTTTTGGTTAGAAGCCCACTCACTGTATTACCACCTCCAGGCCATGAACTTACTATCTTGTGAATCTTAAAATGTGTCCCATGGATCACATACTTCAGAGTTATTTAGTTTCAAAACACTTGGAGTCTCTGTAAAAATACAGACTTATAGGTTGTACCCTTGAACCAGAGAGAGAAAGAGAGAAGGAGAGAGAGAGGAGCAGGTGGAGCCCTGGAATCTTGGAGCAAGCTCCCCAGCTCATTTTATGCACATTAATGTTTGACAGCCTTTGCTACTTCATCTATTATGTATTAGAGGTCGAGGTGAACGAGGTTCAAGTCAGGCTAAACAGCTGACACAAAACAATAACCTAGTAATAGAATGTGCATCTGGGAGTGGGGAGGGAAAGAGGAAGGAGGTAAGTGGCAGAGAAAATATGGCACTAACGCGTGCACCGGAACACTTTTTACTCCAGGTGAAATGAAGATCAAATGAATATCAAGGGAGCCCCAGAGGCAAGTGAGATTTTAAAAAAGCAGAAACAAGACAGGGCTGAAAGGAGGGCATTGCCTTGGGTGAGAGTATGTGCTGGGTGATGGCGAGGGTCAGGACTCCTGGGCAGCCCTGGTTGAGCTCTGTCTGTATGGCCTTATCTCTGCTTTGCCTGCTTCTGAGTGGAAGTGCCACAGCTAGAATAGTGTCAAACCCACCCTCACTCCATTTCCAGAGGGAAAGAGAGAGGGAGGGAGGGAGGGAGGGAGAGAGGGAGGGAGAGAGAGAGAGAGAGAGAGAGAGAGAGAGAGAGAGAGAAACAGCATAACAACCCCTTGGGCAATTACCTTAATTCTCAGTGTTCTAGAAACAGCTGTGTACCAACAAGACAAAACCTCACAAAAATATCAGCGTTCATGTTCTCAGGAAAATGTATGTGGCCCAAGAAGAAAAATTACCTGTGATTCTCCTCTGGTCAGAATCTTGAGATAATTTGTCACTCTCTTTGATTTCTTGCTAATTGAGTGAATATTTAGTTTCGACAATTTATCTTTAAGCGATTCATCCTCATCATTCTTCTTGTATTTTAGAACTAAAACAAAAGAATGCAGTGATACATCTAGGCCCGTGCAGCATAGAAAGTGTGTTTTTACCCAAGTATTCAAGATCAACATTTATATTTAAGATACAAATCCACATGATTGTTGGTTCTCTGTAGCAGATGCCATATGTTCCAGCCCCACTGCCCAATCATAAGTCCAGCTGCCCACTTCCTCATCCTTCAAAACTGCTGTCTGAGGGTGTGAGCCTCAAAGCCCCAGGTTCACTTACCTCCCACATTAAAAGTATCCCAGATACTGAAATAAAGCTCTTCCCCTCTTCTCAGATAATACATTTACTCTCTGGGGTCTCTAGAACGAAGCATCAAGACCTCACTAATGAAAAGACATCCAACCTCAGGAGTCCTCAGATCCTAGAGTGGCTTGCTACTAGCAGACAGTTTTGGGGTAAATTGAGTCACCCCTCTGAGCTTTACTTTTTTTATTTTATTGATATTTTTAGAGAGAGAGGAAGAGGGGATAGAAAGAGAGGGGGGAAGAGAGAGAGAAACATTGTTCAGCTGCCTCCTGTATGAACCCCGAACCGGGGTAGAACCAGATACCTAGGTAGATACCCTGACTGGGAATCGAACCCGAAACCATTTGTTACACTGGCAGATGATGCTCCAACCAACTGAGCCACAGGCCAGGGCTGAGCTTTACTTTTTTAAAAAAATTTAATATATATTTTTATTGATTCAAAGAGTAAGGGAGAGGGAGAGAGAGAGAGAGGGAAACCATTTACACTGGCAGATGATGCTCCAACCAACTGAGCCACAGGCCAGGGCTGAGCTTTACTTTTTTAAAAAAATTTAATATATATTATTT